AAACCACAATGATTTTCCCAGAAGAGCAGCAGAAAATTAAGGGCAGCCTGCTTGTTTCATCTCCACAATATCTTACATCCTTCGCAAAAGCTCATCTATAGACAGAGTTTTCTTCCCATATAGACGAGGACACTGTTCCCTCCATATCTCGCTGATTACTAGGTTCCATGTAAGTCACCCAGCTTTGCAAGTGTTAAACACCTGGACTGCTAGCTGCAGCCCCTCCACCATCGATTTTTAGGCCAGCAAGGCCATACATGAGAGTGCTTCCTTTGGTGCATAATGATTGAGGGTTGATGGGGGAACAAATAGTGAACAACTGGCTACGCATTTGTCTGTAGTTTGTTCAGTTGATCATGATGGCTCATTGCACGAGCAGCTTGTGCGATGAAGGGCGACATTCCATCCGTTCTTCAGAGTTTTGCGAGCTATGGTGTTTTTTCGATGCTCAAGCATGTTTTGTTGTTTAAGCAGTCCTTTCGCAGCCACATCCTGTGAGAAAAAGATGCATCCAAGCCAGAACCAGATGTTCCGCGATTGCAGACTGCGAGGTGCTTTTGTTTGATGTTGTGATGTGCTCTGCTGGTTTTTCCTATGGTTTTAGAGTCTTGATGGCGTCTTCCTTCTGAGGTTTTGTTTTGCTTGCTGTGTTGGCTGTTTAGCCTCTTGTAGTGTCATGTACGTTCGCTCTTCTTCCCCTTGTTCTTTTGTTAGCTTTCCTTGTCCCCTCATCTGTAACCTTTTCTTTTCATTTGTACACCACTGGTGTATTGTTCTTTGGTAATGAAATTCACCACCATCTAAAAAAACTTGCTGAACATAGTCATTTTGGAAATAGATGTGATCCCTCGATTCCAGAGCAGACATAGATAGTGGGCAACAATTAGACACTTCAGGTTTCCATTTTTGTATCTTGTCAAATATGATGATTCTGTCTAGTGCAATAAGCCAGCAATGTTTCATCATAAACAATGGAGTAAGAAGGAAGTACTTTCAGCGTGTTAGAGAATTTGAAGTTTCCAGCAGTCGGTTGCTAAGCAATGATATTCAGTGAAGGAACCTCTCAAGAAGCAAGTTTGCCCAGAGCTTGCTTACTGAACCCTTTCTTGTCTAAAGCAAGTAGCATTCAACCATGGCTTCTCTTTACATACCAGATCGTACAGCTTCCAGCGGCTGCTCGATTGCAGTGTTTATCATCATGTACCCAGGTAGTTCATGCTTCTTCTTACCACCCTGAAAAAGAGAGCAGCAAAGAGAATTGACTAACAACAAAAGCACTCTACAAGTAATGGAAAACAGAATGCTGGCTTTCCTCGGATCCAAACCTCGACAAAGACTCCCACAAAGGTTGCTTCACTCGAATACCTACAGCAGCAAACCCAAGTACAGGAATTTTCTCTTCACCCTTCTCCAAAATAGTTGCTCATTCTCCATGTTGGCGATTGTAACTGGATTCCTGTATAGATTCTCCTGCTGCCCGAGAAAACCGGTTTAACACTGAGAATCGAACTAGGAAGAAGAAGAAGAAGTGGTAACTCTGTCAGAGGAGAGGCCAAAGGACGGAATAGAAGTCTAAGCCTCCATCAACATTTTATCGCACTCCTTTACTGCTTCTAACCCTTATCAGAAGAATTGATCTGGAGATTGCTTGCTGAAGCTGCAATCCAGATGATAAAAGGATTCAGGGGCGAAAGGGGGAACGTTTCACATAACGTTTTCCTGTGGCGTTTCGTTTCTTATTTGTTTTTTAGCTCTGAAGTTTTAACTCTAGTGATACGACGTCGGTTTAAGCAGTAGAAGGGTTTCGTTTCTTTCTTCGGCCACATGCTTACCGACCCGACCCGAGTTTTGTCCGGCCCAGGTGAAAGATATTTTAGGGACAAGATAGAATAACAACACAGAATGTGTTGTTATAATAACAACAGTATCAATTAAGGGTAGAAAGGTCAACTCACTCAAATAACAAAATAAAAATTCAATTAAAATATTTTCTTCATCCCTACCGTGTTTCTCCTCTAGCCTCCGATCTCCCTCGGCACCGACGGGATTAGGTCTTCTCACCGGCGAGGATTCTCTTTCTCCCAAATCAAATTCCGGCACTCCTCCTCTCAGATCTGTGATACTGCTCTTCCCAGACTCGTTTATGCTCTCCTAGTCCCGCAGCTCCGTCGCTCTTTCCCTCTCCCAGAGCTTCGCAATCATGGCGACGTCGGAAACTGACGACTTCGATGAGCCTCCCATGCTGCCCAGCTGCGAATCGATTTTATCCTATTCTAAATCTCCTACAAATTCACCACTCTTCCCCGTCCAAGAGATTCGCGATCATAGCGGCGCCGCTGCGAACGAGTTTGTCAATGGGATATGAATTTTCTTTGTAGATTTTTTTGTTTCCTCTACCTTGAGCTTTTTTGCTCATTGTTTTATAGTGGAACAATATGCAGAAGCAATGCGGCAATGGGTGGCAAAAGGGTGGTCTAATTTCCTCTCCATGTTCCAAACGTGCAGAGATAGTGTAATTGAAGAGGTGCCATTTTTAAATCTCCTTCTTGATGCATATGGATCTCAAGAGGTGTCATTTTTTATTGATCCAAACACTGGGGGATCACAAGAAGATGTTGGTTTACTTGTTCCAGACATATTCAAAACCAGCAACAGAGACCTAGTGTCTACACTCTACAGCAAGGCGTTTCTCTTTTCAGGATTTTTAATTCTTAATTCGTCTTTATGAGACTTAATCTTTGACTTCATGAATGATACTCGATCAGTTCCTAACCAAAAAAAGTACCTAGTATCTACTTTTCTCTACTAAGTAGTCACTACAAAAGCGTACCAGAAATCATCAAATTCATACAACAAATCCCCTAAAACAAATCAAAAACATCTCAAATCAAATCACAAAATTCTAAAACACACACCAGAAATCTTATAATGCAAACCACAAACGCCGTAAAACAAAACACAAAAAAGCAAACCAAACACCTCCTAGTGCAGACCACAAATCCATTAAAACAAACCAGAAACCTCGCAAATCAAACCACAAAATTTTCGAAAGCACACCATAAACTTCTTAATGCAAACCAGAAACCTCTTAATGCAGACCACAAATCTCCTAAAACAAACCACAAACCTCACAAAGCAAACCACAACATTTGCGAAAGCACACCAGAAACCTCCTAATGCAAATCACAAGCACGGTAAATTAAACCACAAAAAAGCAAACCTAAAACGTCCTAATACAAACCACAAATATATTAAAACAAACTAAAAACCTCACAATGCAAACCACAAATTTTTTGAAAGCAAACCAGAAACTTCTTAATGCAAACCACAAACACGATAAAGCAAACCAGAAACTTCTTAATGCAAACCACAAACACGATAAAGCAAACCACAAAAGGCATACAAAAATATGAGAAACCAAACCATAAATCTCACAATGCAGACCATAACATCCGGTGGTCGTTGGCAGTTGACCGGTCAACGAAGACCGTTGACCGGTCAACGAAAATCGTTGACCAAACTCCGATGACCGTCAGTTACCAGATTCCGGCGCCGATAGGCATATTCCGGCCCCGATGACTAGATTCCGACGCCGGTAAGCATATTCCGGCGACAGTGGCATATTCCGATGAGAAACTAGCATATTCCGGCGACGAAAAGCATATTCCGGTGACCGGCGACCATTTTCCGGCGACCGGTGTCAGAATTCCGGCGACGAAAAGCATATTCCGGTGACCGACGACCATTTTCCGGCGACAGAATTCCGGCGACCAAAATTTTGGGCCGGAAAAATAAAAAAATAAAAAAATAAATTTTTTTTTTTTTATTTTTATTATTTAAACATATTTTTCATAATGACAATTATACCCCTGCTTTGATTTTACACTAGGTCAACTCATCTAATAAAAAGTCATCACAACCCTAGCTTCCTATTGGTTGGAGACTAGTGTTGTTACAATAACAACACAAGGGGTGTTGTTACCGTAACTGGTCCCGATATTTTACTCTCACGTCTCACCTCTCTTGCTTCTTCAACAGAAACCCCAAATCTTTCACCAAGTAGGGGGAAAAACCCCCAAATCGGCCAGATCGCCATTACTGTTTTACTCCCTCTTGTTACCATTCCCTGCCCTCTTTAACTCTCCAAAATGAACTCTGACGCCATGAAATTGAAAGCACTCCCGCTCGATTACCCTTCCATCATCACTCGCCCCGTCACCACCATCCCCTGCTTCAAAAAACCGCCTGGTATCTCCCTCTTCTACACCGTCTTTTCTCGATTCTCCGACGCCTTCGTGTTCCTGATCGTCGCGCTACTCTCATACTCCGGCCTCGTCGTCACCGCCACAATTGGCACCCAGACCTCTCTCGGTCGAACTGGAAGGATCTTCTTCCTAGGGTTTCTCACCGGCTTAGCATATCCGTTCATCTTCCTCTATTTCCACAAGATTCACCAGTGGAGGAAGACGGAGTTCGCTCAGCGAGTCTTCTTCTCACCTCCTGGGATTCCATCCCAATGCGTCGGGTTCACAATCAAGATGGGTTTGTACTTATTCTATGTATGGGGTGGTGTCTACAGCTCCGCGCTTGCTCTGATTGTATTTCTTGGCATCCTGATGATGGTTTCTATGTACTTGTCCTTGAGGCCGGCCTTCGACTACTACATTATTGATAGCTCATTGAGTGGGCTTTGTCTCTATGCTTTGCTTGCGAAGAGGGACGTCAATGGAGATGCAGACTCGATGGTTTTCCCTTGGCTCGTTGGTCCTTTGTGTTTTCTGATTGTGGCATTCCGTTACTACTTCGAAGGGAAAGCCAACAAGGCTGAAAACCCAGAGGCGGAGGCGGAGGCAGTAGCCAAATAGAGGAGTATTTTTCTATGGCTGATGGTTTGTCAAAGAAGCCTGGAGATAGCCCTACAGCAGTTTATGGCTTTTTTCTTGTTCGTTCCTGCTCGTTGTAGTGTTGTTTTCTTTTAGGGTTTTCAGATAGTGGTAATGGCCAACTGTTGTAATGAATTATGTTAGTAACCAAGCTTGTGAAATAGATCAACGTTTATGCATATTCATTCTCTCCTCGATTTTGAGTTTTTTCTACTTCACTTGCTCTTTTCTTGTTGTTTCCTCTGGTTTTCTGCATTGATTAGTATGGATATGAATTGCCACCAAACCTTGTGTTCTTAACTTAGAGCCAAGGGCAAGCATAGTACGGATCATGAACATCATTTTATACAATTGGTAGCAACAAGAACGAAAATTGTACAGTATCAACAGTGTAACAAGAGTACAGGATTATACAAAAAAAAAAGCTCTATAAAAAGAGTTGTTGGGGGAGGCACACTGATGCAAGGTTACAGGCAGACCGGTAAAAAGAACTGTTGGATCTTCTCTTCCATATGTTCTGAGTTGGGACCAGAACGTATCGAGTTCTTGGCATCAAATGTAACGTAGTAAATCAGTCGTCGTCTTTGAATTCCCTGTCAGAAACACACAAAAGACCAAATTTCCCATCGTTCATTCACTATGATGTGTGATTGAAACTAAACTGAAGAAACCTAAGACTTGCTTGCTGAACAAGATTCACAAAAGCCTGAAAAAACAACAGTTCATCATTCATTCATCGTGATAGGTTGAGAGTACCTTCGATCAAGGTATCGAGGCTGAATCCCGGAGCCTTGGCAAGTGGTGCAAGTCAAAGAACCAGCACTGTCACAGTTGATGCATGGAGACACTTCTTTCTCACCCCCTCCTAGGTCCACCGTCACCGAACCACTTCCCTCACAAAATCTGCATCTCTCTGGCCATGAAGCCAATTCCAATTCCCAGCAGTAAGGTAAGAGAGGAACCATGTTTCAATCATTCAACGATGAAAGGCATGTTTGTCTAGGTGACATGAATGTACATTCAGTTGCAATGGTTCTTGCTTATAGGCTATAGCCATTTTGCCTAAAACTCAATGCAGTTGGAAATTTGAAAGTTCTCTCCATGGCAACATTGAACAGAGTTAGATCAATCAAACATGAACAAGGCTAGCTAACGAAGAGAAGGCATAGCAGAGAAGGGTTTACTTACGGGCACCAGAGCCACTACAGGGGAAGCAAGGCTGAGTGTTGTCCCTCTTTGACTGCATGTTAACCCAAAATATGCCCAAAAATCAAATCGAACCCACAAACCAGGGACCGGTTATTGTAACAACACCCATTGTGTTGTTATTGTAACAACACTAGTCCCCAACCAATAGGAAGCTAGGATTGTGATGACTTTTTATTAAATGAGTTGACCTAGTGTAAAATCAAAGCAGGGGTATAATTGTCATTATGAAAAATTTATTTAAATAAAAAAATAAAAAAAATAAAAAAATATTTTTTTTTATTTTCTGCCCAAAAATTTGGTCGTCGGAATTCTGCCACCGGTCGCCGGTCACCGGAATATGCTATTTTGTGGCCGGAATATGCTTACCGGAGTCGGAATATGCTTACCGGCGTCGGAATCTAGTCACCGGGGCCGGAATATGCCTATCGGCGTCGGAATCTACTCACTGACGGTCACCGGAGTTCGGTCAACGGTCTTCGTTGACCGGTCAACGGTCTTCGTTGACCGGTCAACGGTCAACGACCACCGGATGTTATGGTCTGCATTGTGAGATTTATGGTTTGGTTTCTCATATTTTTTTATGCCTTTTATGGTTTGTTTTATTGTGTTTGTGGTTTGCATTGAGAAGTTTCTGGTTTGTTTTCAAAAACTTTGTGGTTTGCATTGTGAGGTTTCTGGTTTGTTTTAGGAGATTTGTGGTTTGCATTAGGACGTTTATGGTTTGCTTTATTGTGGTTTGATTTACTATGTTTGTGGTTTGCATTAGGAGGTTTTTGGTGTGCTTTCGCAAATGTTGTGGTTTGCTTTGTGAGGTTTGTGGTTTGTTTTAGGAGATTTGTGGTATGCATTAGGAGGTTTCTGGTTTGCATTAAGAAGTTTCTGGTGTGCTTTCGAAACTTTTGTGGTTTGCTTTGCGAGATTTCTGGTTTGTTTTAATATATTTGTGGTCTGCATTAGGACGTTTTTGGTTTGCTTTACCGTGTTTGTGGTTTGTATTAGGGGGTTTCTGGTGTGCTTTAGAAATATTTCTGGTTTGTTTTACCGTGTTTCTGGTATGTTTTAGACAATTTATGGTCTGCATTAGGAGGTTTCTGGTATACTTTCGAAATAATTGTGGTATGCTTTGTGAGGTTTGTTATTCTATCCAACGTTCTTACTAAATCAATGGAATTAGTAACAATAATTAGTAATGTGTATACGTACCAGATTCGTATACATAATTACATAGTTCTCTCCTAATTAATTATGTTTTCACAACAGTAGGAATCCACCACAACAGCACAAGCAGTAGCTGTACGGAGGTGATGAACTAATGGTGATTCTTGTCTCTCTAATTCATTTGCTTTGCTTGTACGGAGGTGATGACATGGACTGGATAATGAAATTCACCACAACAGCACAAGCAGTAGCTCGAGCAGCAGGAATCACCATTAGAACCCTAGTGAAGGCCTTCCGCCGCGAATCCACCACAAAGGAAATTGATTCCGGCCAGCCCCCGCATCACCTCCTTCGGCTCCTCGACCACAACCTCACCGCCCGCCGAGACATCAATTGAAGCAGGGGTTTACAACGTTCCCGATTTTGTTACCAACACCTCTCCTCCCCTGCTCTTGACCTTGGGTCCGCCGAGTTGACTGCTCCAGAATCATCATACACTCCAAAGGCGGTGTAAATCGTCATGAGATCTACAACGGTGGAGGCCATCAACGGGGGAGAAAATGGCAGAGTTCATTTCCAGACGGCGGTGGCGGGGAAGAAGCGGCGCGGAGGAGCCTACCGATAGTTGAGGTTGAAAAGATCGGCGTCGGCGTCAGAAAGGAGAGGGGATATGCAGAGAAACAGCCGGCGGAAAAGCTGCCTCGAATCGCCGCCGCCACACATCACGACTTCAGATCTGAGATGACGTGGTTATGGCCTCTACGATTTCTGATCGGATGACGGAATCCAAATCTAGAAGACGGCGGATGAAAGCGACCTTCTGCGGGTAGCACACCAGCGCCACCGTGTCGCTCTCCGTATCCATCGCCGTCGTACTAAACTCGTCGGAGGCGGTGTGGTTGTGGTTAGGAGGGAGTTGACTGGTGCGATGGCGATCGCGATGGCAGAGGATTGACGCCGGAGAAGAAGAAAAAATTATTCAGAGGTACAGATTTGGTCGATGTTGATGGGGAGAGAGATAAATAAAACACGCTTAGAGTATTTAGATTTTTTTAATTTGTTATATTCATTGTTATACTATCCGCACCCCACAAAGCATAAAGCAGAAACTAAAGCATCTAATATATATTCTAGTTAAAATTCAAGGGAGCTTAAGAGTTGCTCACAGCATTATTAATTTGGGATTCGTAGAACACTGGAATGCCAATTCCCACTGCCACGCTCACTAGCCCAACGGATAATGCTGTAATCTGGAGAACGATTTAACACCCATAAATTCATTAATTCCATCACATCTACCACGATTGAGAGAGAATTCGGAACCCAAATACGAGTAACAAAGGAAGGAAGGGGGAGACCGTGTTGGCGTCGAGATCAGCGGCTCTAACGAGGGGATAAGGCGTCGACGACGGCCGCCGGGGGGATTGAAAGGTGAAGCTTCTCGCGGACTTGAAAGGAGACAAACACGGCGATTTGAGAGGGCAGCATAGGAATGGGGATTGCAGGCGTGGAACCGAAGCTGCTGCTGGTGCTGCTCCAAAGGGCATTTTGTTCTGGAGCTTTCTGGTTTATCAAGTGGCTATGGCGGTAATGAGAGTGAGCGGGGGAAAGAAGGAAGGACTCTCTGTTTCTGGAGCTCGCATATCATCCACGCTGTTCTCCTCCTTCCTCCCAGCCACAAAATCCACGTGGACGGGCGGGTGGATGGACGCATTTCCATTTGCACGAGGCCGAGGGTCCAATAAAAACTGCAAAGGCCCATGAGCCCATAAGCCTCTTCTTTCTTTTCAAGTCAAGGCTTGGCCCGTGATCATAGGAGTGTGCAGCCTGTTTCCCACGGTCCAATTAATTGCAGACGGGTTTGTTTTGTTGTAATGTGAGGCGAATGCGATGAAGTTCAAGAAGAACAAGGATGACGATTGATGAAGTCATGAAGCAAATCACACTGTTTTGCTTGCTTAGGTGCAAATTCAAAACGAGAGAGAGAGAGAGAGAAGGGTGAAGTGGTAAAAACAGAGCCAGCTAGGGTTGTTTTCTTGATAGTGACTCGCCATCAAACCAATTATAATTACTGGGCACATGAAGAGAAGGAAAAAGGGTACGGTGCATGCATTGGCAAATACCCCACTTCACTCACTGCTGCTATGGGGTAGAAAACATATGGACCAACCATTAACAAAGAACGACCACATTTTTTAAGCATCCAAAGCAGAGAATGCGGTATACTCATAAATGTGTTTGATTAATCAAGTTTACTTTATAGTTAAATCAACGATAATTGATTTAGTTAACTGTTAATTATATAAAGACTCGTTTTATATATATAAGTTGAGATGTAATTACTTGACAAATATATCTCTTGTTATGATTGAATTCATTGTTGTTAACGTGATATTGATATCTTACCTTATAAACAAATTATGTACGTACGTAAGATGAGAAAGGCAAAAAGTATCGGAGTAATATGATGCAAAACTTGATGTTATGCATAGCTATAGTAGTAACTCTTGTTGTTCCCCTGTCCATCGGCCGTAGGGATGACAAATCAGACCGCGCGGGCGGGTACCCGCCCGAAAACCGGCTGGGCGGACCAGTTTTTACCCGGGGTTGACGGGGATTTAACGGATTCGGGGAAACCCGTTATCCGTGGATAACGGACATCGGGCGGTGACGGAGTCCAGGCTATCCGCCCCGAGCCCGCCCCGAGCCATAAAAACGACGTCGTATTTTGAGCATATATATATATCCATCAGTCGAGCAGAGAAACCCTAATCCCTAATTGTCGCCGCTCTCTCAGTCTCTCAGTCTCTCTTCTCCTCTCAGTTCTCTGCTCTCAATCGCCGCTCAAATCCATCGATTCGATTCCCCCCGCGAAATTCTCTCCACCCAGGCTGTCAATCATTCATTATCCACCAATCAAAGCCTAATATACTCATCGATTTAGGCAAAGAACAACATGCAAAAGGAGAAGAATCAGAAGATGACTGTTCCAATCTCCGATTCGAGGTTATTGGGAGGATTTCTCGTCGATTATTGTTCCGATAATCCAGAACTCGAGATAAGTACCTTCCAATTCAATTCTTCTTTCTTATTTCAGTTTCTTGCTTTAGTTTTAGGTTCGTTTAAATTAGCTCGAGTCGATTGGTTCTTTCTAGGGCTCTTCTGTTTCATCTTCATCTGCACCTGGGACTGCATGCATGCTCTGATACTCGAGGTAATCCCTATTCCCTAATCAAATTTCCTTAGTCAGTTACTCAGTTAGTGTTTAGTAATTAGTAGTTTGTTGTATTGACTTTGACTCATTGGATTGTAATGTTTGTACTTTTGTTTGAGTTTTTGCAGTTTTGTATCAGGCATCAGTTCACCATCCACAACTCTGGACAATAGACCCCCTCTGTCCAGATTCGAGGTTAGTTTAAAAATTAAGGACATTTTACTTAATTTGGTTTGCATGTATTAGGAATTAGGGACTCGAGTTTCTGTTGATTGCTTGGGTGTTGGGTCTGCTCATGAATCATGTCTTGTTTAGTATAAGTATCTCATCTGCATGTTACAATTGAATCTAAAAGACTATAAATTTGAACCTAGAAATCTTATATCTAAAGCCTAAAAAGTAACCAAGCAATCCTTTGATGTTTATACTCGTTTATCTCAATGTCAGATGGAAGGTGCACCTGAATATGTTGTCACTGCTCCTGTTCCTCCACAACCTGCCCCTGTTGATCAAAACAACCAACCTGAACAAGTTGGTAATGGTAACGGTAACTTGGCTAATGAAAATTCTGAAGTGCTTGTTGAAGAATGCAAATTGACTTCTGATGTATGGCCTCATTACATTAGGGTTAAGGTTAATGGGGTTATTAAAGCTAAGTGCAAGTACTGTCGAAAAAACCTTGGTGGTGATACTCGTAATGGAACCTCGCACCTTAGGACTCATGTGAAAACCTGTATCCAAAAAAGGATACATGATGGTGCTCAAAAAATTCTTTGCCCTAATTACAAAGCAACTGGAAAACCCCAATTATCTGCTACACAGTTCAACTCTGATGTGTCTAGGAAGGAGCTGAGCTCAATGATTTTGGTCCATGAGTACCCTCTTAGCATTGTTGAACACTTGGGTTTCAAGCGTTTCTGTTGTTCTTTGCAACCACAGTTTACTGTGCCTTGTAGAAATACTGTGAAGAAAGATATATTGTCTTTGTATGAGGTTGAAAGGAGTAACTACCAAAAGGTTATTGATGGTAATTTGGGTAGAATTGCTGTGACCACTGATTTATGGATTGCCCCAAACCAGAAGAGGGGTTATATGGCAGTCACAGCTCACTTTATTGATAATACTTGGAAGCTAAGAAACTCAATGCTAAAGTTTTTGTATGTCCCTGCCCCTCATACGAGTGAGAGACTTGCAAGAAAACTGTTTCAATGTCTTCTGAATTGGAACATTGATGGAAAGTTGTCTGCAATCACCTTGGACAACTGCTCCACTAATGATTCCATGATTGCTCACCTTAAGAATAAGCTTGTTTTGAATAACTTGTTGATGGATGGTAGACTGCTTCATATGAGGTGTTCTGCTCATATACTGAACCTTATTGTGAAAGATGGTTTGGATGTGATAAAGGATGGAATCCATTTGATTAGGGAGAGTGTGGTGTATTGGACATCCACACCTAAGAGGGTCCAGACTTTCAATGAAGCTGTTAAACAGCTTAAGTTGGTTGTTGGGAAAAAACTTGTGCTTGATTGTCCAACAAGGTGGAATTCTACCTATGATATGCTCTCTATTGCTCTTCTGTACAGAGATGTCTTTTTTCGTTTAAGACAGATGGATAGTCAATACACATCAGCTCCTACTAATGAGCACTGGGATTTTGTTGCTATTGTGATTGATAAACTGCTCATTTTCAGTGAGATGACTACATTATTTTCTGGTACCAAGTACCCCACTGCCAATCTGTTTTTCTCTAAGGTCTGTGATCTGCGATTGAAATTGAGTGACTGGTGTGCTGATCTTAATCCTGTTATTTCTGCCATGGCTGGAAATATGTGGTTGAAATTCACAAAGTATTGGGATGATATACATCTTGTTCTGGCAGTTTCAGTGGTTCTAGATCCTAGGTACAAAATGCATGTCATTGAGTATTATGCTGCTAAGTTTGGCAGCTCTGATACTTACTTGGTGGCTAAGGATCTAAAACAGCTGATTTGTGGTTTGATTAATGATTATCAAACCAAGGCTGAAAAGAAATCTGGTTCTTCTGCCAATGAACCGATTGGAAATGCAAATGTCTCTGTTTCAGCAACTGATCTTGATTTCGAGTTGTTTGTTAGTCAGAGGAAAAAGAGCAAAACAACTCTGATTACTACTGAGTTGGACCATTATCTTGCTGAGGAACTTATTCCTCGTGATCCATCTACTGAATTTGATCTCTTGATATGGTGGAAGTTGAATGGCCTTAAGTATCCTACTTTGCAAGCAATTGCAAGGGACTTTTTGGCTATACCAATAACATCAGTTGCTTCCGAGAGTGCTTTCAGCTCTGGTGGGAGGTTGTTAGACCCCCACAGGAGCAGGCTCGACTATTCTACTGTGGAGGCCATGTTGTGCAGTCGTAGCTGGGTTAGAGAAGCCTGACTAAGAGGTAACCTGCAATACCTTCGACTCGAGTGAGTTTTGGTTCATTTAAACAAGTGACTGAGTGAGTTTGTTCTATTTCTGCAGAATCAGAGGCTGCTGCTGCTGTGGAGGCAATGGATGGACTATTTACTGGGCTGTCAGTTCACGATTCAAGTGTAGAAGATCAGGAAAATGGGGGTAAGTTAGTTGGTTTTTAGTTTTTAGTTGGTAAGTTATGGTTTATGAACTGCATAAGTGAACAAAGTTTTTTTTTATATTGATTGCAGTCCAGGAACTTCTGAATCTGGATTCACCATTCTCCTTTGATGACTGATTATTGGAACCTCAGAAGAGAAGGTATATAATACATTCAAATTGACTTTTCTCCTTTATTGTAAGCTTGTATCTGTTCCTTCATATTTTTGTTTTCTTGCAGGGAATGAATGTCAATTTGTCATGACTCATGTGCTGCTTGACTGCTTCTGTTCTTCAAATCTGGTTGCTGCCTTGCTGGTGCCTTTGAGAGTTTGGCTTACTGCCTTTGAGAGTTTGAGTTTGAGTGTGCTTTATTTGTTCCAAATTTGAACAATGGATTGGTGTGTGGCTTACTGCCTTTGAGAGTTGAGTTTGAGAGTGCTTTACTTGTTTTTTTTTTTTTTTTTGCTACTTTTAGACAGTTGATGAACTCATGAACAATTGAGGAACTCTTGAAAATTCAGAGTTCTGGGTGGTGGGTGGGTTGCAGCCTTATAGGCTTTATGTTAAGCTACTTTTGAGTTTTGAGCACTACTCAACTTTGAATTTGAATTGAATTATGTTTTTCCAGTTATTTTATTGTTTCAATATGTCAATTTTTTTAGGGTTTGTAGCGGGTAACGGGGACCCGTGGATTCCCCGAATCCGTTGCTTAACGGTGACGGTATCAAATTTGGCCCCGTTAAATGGCCGGGGACGGGGTCGGGGTAACCCGACACTGTTCACGGACGGGGAACGGATGGTATGAATCCGTCCCCGATCCGCCCTGTTGCCAACCCTAATCGGCCGCACTAAATTAACTCCCTTTCTCTTTTATGGAGCTGTAGTA